TAAAAGAACTGGAGGAGGTAAGACATCCCCCCCCCCCGAACTATTATACATTTGGGTTGCGACACCAAACCTGCAAAATACATTTATGGTTACACAATTACCTATCGTGTGAATAACTTAAAAATTTCATAACACCTCAACTAACATTTAAGTAATTAAAAATAAAATTTCTAAGATAAAGTAACTATATTATATTTTTAATTTGTATGTAAGTTATTTATTTAGGCATATTAAGGCGCGTACACACGAGCGAACGAAACTAGCGAATGCTCACGCACGCACGTGCGGGATATTAATTCAAACGTGTGTTAGTGAATGAATGAATGAATTAATTAATAACTAAAATATAAATTAAAAAATAATATAAATCAGTTTTATTACATTTTTTTTATACATTATCTATATATAAATATTATATTTGGTAAATTAAAATGAACTGGGATAGCAAAGAATGCACGAAAGACAGCAGATGAGATACCAAATGCGTTCTCAACAGTTCGTCGTGCACGACTCAAACGGTAATTGAATACTCTTTCTTTTGTACCTTTATTATGAGTCCCAGAATACGGTTTCATAATTTTTTTTGTTAAGGCAAAAGCCTCATCTGTAAGAATAACGAATGGTAAATCTACATTTTTCCCTGGCAAAGTTATTGGTGAGAGCAGTTTAATTTTCCACTTTCTATTTTTATGTGTAATTCAATATTTTTGAACACTCCTCCATTCGAAATACGTCCTTGACACCCAATATCGACAAAGAGAAAATATAATCTGCATCGACTAATGCAAACAAAACAATGCTAAAAAAAGATTTATATTTGAAATATTCACTGCCACTGTTCATTGGAGATTGCAAGACGATGTGTTTTCCGTCCATAGAACCAATACAATTAGGATAATTCCATGTTAATTCAAATTGTTTTGAAATAGTAAGCCACTCATTTGACGTGGGAGGCATCTATATTTTTAAAAATAATAGTATTTTATTTATGCAAAATAACTAAAATTGATATTCATTGTGTTAATATGTAATTTCGTCCAAATTTGAATTTAAAATGTATGTAAAAATAACTGTGTTGATATATTTTTTAGATTTTTTGGTTACATATGAACCATTTATATGAGAATCATTTTTAAATTCTTAAATTTAGCTATAAAATTTGAACATTTTATAATTTTTTAACAATAAAATCATTTTCGATTCTGAGTGGAAAGATGTGATGTATCTTACATTGATGTATTACATATTTTAATTGGAAAAGTGGCCCTCTTCGCCTACCACCACGTGTTGGTCTCCCAATCCATGTGTCCTCAAGATAATCAACAACTGTTCGTAATCCTTCTTCATTATCTACATAGTAGTTGGAGTTAATTAGTTCTTCAAATGCAAAAATAACATTATCGACGGGTACAAAAGCAAGAGCTGATAATTTTTTTATTTCGTGGAAAAATATTGCGTCTGTTTATTACTTCTAATCGCAACAGCTATTATATTATATTTTGTCGGGGATATTTTTACGCAGGATATTTTGTCGTGGAACCGAAATTCCCATCCCTAGAGTGTTCAGCCGATAGTGACAGTGCTGGGCCGGTGGCTGTGCTTCGTCTTTGTCCTTGTAGTGGTGGCAGGGCAGTGTGGGCATTCGTACAATAATGAGCTTTTTTGGAGTAGAAAAGCACTGCGATATGTTCACCGACGGTCGCAACAGAAGCGCCGGACGGCGGAAAGCCACGGTCGTCGAGGGTAATACTTATGCTGGTGGGGTCGGGGGACGGATGTTACATAACATGGCAATGATTATCGTATTAACGCCCACTATTGGTTTCGCTGACAAAAGGCATGGCAATAGAGGCATAATCACATGTCGATAATAACGGTATAGGTACGCTCGTATACTGTGTAATACAGGGCACAAAATTCTGTAACGTTATACTATGTATAAAAATATACTGATTGACACTGTCCAAAAAATGGTTGCAGGAGAAGGTAACGCTCACAAAATTATCACAATACAAACTATTTCCATAAGGGACGTTTATTCGAGGAGAATAGACAATGGTGATATATACGGTGCTAGTATGACAATGTAATATAAAATTAATACAATGTAGTACGTGGGTTTTAACCTTTAAGCTTTTCCGTCGCGGTGGAATTCTTAACTTCAGTGATTGGACGAGAAATGGTGTATTCCCGTGATCGTTTTCCTAGATCGAAACTTCTACACAACAATCTGAATCAACTAATCTATCACATTCTATAAATTGAAATTTAATTGAAAACAATTAACACTACGACTGATCATACAAGCCAACTGCATAGTATTAAGCAATATAAGTTTTAAATCTAATTCAATTGACACAAATCCAAGTAAAAATATCTCCATCAATAGTTCATCAAGTAAGTGATTTCAGGCTGTTATGGCTGACGTTATTAAGGGGATTCCACCCGGTGATTTCCTGTCTTTGTCTAACACAAGCGCAACATAGTATTTTAGACGTGTTTTTTGCCAAATATACCATTTGATCTAATGAAGCGATAAGAATTCTGAAAACAGATCTGAATTCGTCCTCAAGTCTACTTGAAATCGACTTTTCCACATTTTTGATATTATCCCCCAAATTCCAGAAAACGTCATATTAAAAAAGAGTATTTAAACATTTTTGTATTTCAATTTTTGGAGAAGCTAAAATCAAAATTGTGGGGAAGTCAATTGCAAGAAGACTTAATGACAAATTCAAATCTGTTTTTAGAATTCTAATCGCTTCACTAGATCAATTGGTATGTTTGGCAAAGAATCTGTCTAAAATCCAATGCCTCGCATGTGTTAGACAAAAACAGAAAATCACGGTATGGAATCCCCTTAAGTGGACAATATTTTAGAGTGAAGTTACCAACAGCTGTTACATCACAAAATTGCTCAAGATGAAGTAAAAACTAAAAAAATGTATTAAAAGAGTTGTTGAAAAACCTAAAAAAAAAATTAAAAAGTTTGGCCAAAAATAAATGCCGAAAGAAAATAATTTTAATTCTTCGGGTTCAGACTGATACAGACGAATATGGCATTAAAAATGAACTTAAAAATGACAATATTGATGATTTTGACCTGGAAGAACTGTATAAAATAGAGAACTTTGTAATTGTACAATGTACATTGAGAAGGGGAATATTTCCCTGGTGTCGTCAATGACACCAATCTAATACCAGTCCTAGTAAATGTCATGACTATGAGTGGAAGTGAATGAAAATGGCCAAATGAAGATGATAAAATATATTTTAATTATGTAATGCAACTCTTTAAACCTCCAGAGGTATCTAATTCAAGAGGTATTTGCTTTGTGCCTGAAATACCAAAATCGTTGACCAGCTTATTGTAAAAGGGCTGCTTATGAATAATAAAACGTTAAAAGTAATGAATAAGAACGCTAGGTGGGAGTGCGTAGGGGTGGAAAGTGCGGCGGGTGGACCAGCCCGAGAAATAACGGCGGCATTAAAAAACCGAAAAAAGTGACTTGAAAAAACGCTATAAAAAAAATGTAAAAAACGCAATATGGTTGTAAAGGGGGTGCTTATGAATAATTAAGAGCTAAAAGTATGAATACGAACGCTAGGTGGGAGAGCGTAGGGGTGGAAAGCGCGGCGGGTGGACCAGCAAGCGAAATAACGGCGGCATTAAAAAACCGAAAAAAAAACACTAAAAAAATTTAAAAAGGCTATATGGTTGTAAGGGGGTTGCTTATGAATAATTAAAAGCTAAAAAATGCGAATAATAACGCTAGGGGGGAGAGCACAGGGACGGAACTCGTGATGGTGGACTAGCGCGCTGTTTTACGGCAACTTAAAAAGACGAAATTAAAACACTTGAAAAAACGCTATAAAAAAATTTAAAAAACGCCTTATGGTTGTAAATGAGGTGCTTAACCAGAATAAAACGCTTAAAAATGCGAATAAGAACGCTAAGCGGGAGAGCAGTGGGATGGAACGCGCGCGGGGTGGACTAGCGCGCTGTTTTACGGCAGCTTAGTAAAAACGAAAATAAAACACTTGAAAAAACGCTATACAAAAAATTTAAAAAACGCTATAAGGTTGTAGGAGGTGCTTAACAAGATTAAAATAATTAAATGGTAGAATATTCATTATAAAAAGGGTGAGCGTAAATGTTTAGTGCGCCATGGTAAGTAGCGCCTGGGAAAACGTTTAATGCTGGAAAAAATTATTTTAAAAAAAACGCCTAGCGAGCTTGTATAATAATAAATATTTCTAAATAATCGTATTAGAAAAAAACCTTAAATAAAAATGAAAACTAATTAAAAGCGGTAGATGGATATTCAATCACGCTGCGTGAAGACTTCCGACCGAAACAAGCCAACTTTCGTCGTATAGATTTCATCCACTCGATCACAGATACCTCATTATTTATTGTCGGTAAATTGCTATGAAATTTAATTATTTGAATTTAAATTGATTCAAAATAAAAGTGATAAAATCGACAATATAATGAGATATCCGCTACATGCGAACGACATACTCGTTGGAGTCCTTCAGTCGGCAAATAAAATACTTACATTATAATATAACAGCAAACTATTAACTGATCGACGATCAACAACAATAGTACAGAAATGTGTACGGTGATCAGTGTTGCCAGAATTTTTTTATGTGAAAACCGTATAAAGAAATCAAAATTACCGTATATTACCGTACAATAGGAAAACTTAAAAAAATCGTATTTGATAACTTATCCATAGATAATATAAGAATATAATATTATCTATGAACTTATCATGCTTAATCTCTTATAATCTATATAATTTAATCTATAATCTATATTAAATATTTTATTTTTAATAAATATTATTCTATGTAATAATTAATATCATCTACCACAAAATTATTATTAATTACATTACTTTACTAACTAAATATAATCACAGTATTTTATAGTCTATTTGTCAGTTTAATTAAAAAAGATACAACACTTATTTAAGTCATTTTGCTTTATGTTATACTTCATCTACCACAGAATCTTCAATTCCACAAGTTGAAACTAGATCTTTTGGATATAAATTTTTGGAAGTCATCATGTCAAACATTTCTTTCCGCAGTACAAAATTGTAACAGCAACCTTCTTTTATTTTAATGCATTCACTGGTCATTATAGTTGCTGCAACAGTATCGGTAATAAGTTTATTTCTTGACTTTGTTTTTATTCGGTTCACTTTACTAAATATACGTTCGCAGCAAGCATTGGAATGTGGCAACGACATAGCAGATAAAGCAAATATCGCCAGTTCATAAAATTGACCAGATTCCAAATGTTTTATTTGTATCCAAAATTTGTCAGGCTCTTTCATTAATTATATTTTCAGATAATTCTACCAAGCTGATTAAACGCCACTGATCGTCAATAGTTTGCAATAAATCATCATTTACAATTCTTGTAAGTTTTTGAGTTAAACAACTTATTGAGTCAACCGCATTATATTTTGATCTCTTATCTACGGAAAGTGCAACAGATGGAGTAAGAATGTCAAGTAACGGAAGAATTGGATCTGAAAAATTGTACCGTTTTTTTTTATTTGAGAGCAACTAACTTTTAAAAAGTCAATACATCTTGCATAAAACTCTTTTAATAAATCTGGCCTGGCCTTTATGCAATCCAACATTATGTGATTCATGATTTTAACACCAAAATAAATTTCAGAATTACTCTTTATTTGACTATTACACAATGGATCTATTTCGGACAATGGAGTTTGTAAAATATAGTCTCTTCTCATGTAAGTTAATAATATATCTTTATATGTAATTTCCATTTTCTTGTGCAGTGTATTAAGCACTATGTTATCGGTTTGGAAATACTGATTAAGTGTAGTGAATTTAGGTAATATCCATTGCAAAAAATAAAAATATCCCTTTGTAAATGGATCCAAGAGCTGATTATAAATTGTTTCCGATGATAATAATTTATCAGAAATCCATTTGTCAGTAAGAAATAACTTTAGAGCATCCCATTGTTCTAATAACCGTTCTACCACACTAGCCAATGACAACCAACGAGTTTGGGAAGGATGTAAGATTTTATGTACATCCATATTTAAAAATGTTTGAAATTCTACATATTGAGATTGTCGTTTACTACTATGCGAAAAAAAGTTGAATACGTTTCGCGCGAAATCTTCCAATCTCCTTGGTAAATATTTACAAGCTTCACTACAACACAGATGAAGCGAATGACGAATACATAGCATTATAAAAATCCCGGGAAACATTTCATTCATTCTGGTGGATACAGAATTGTTTTTCCCCATCATTGTTGAGCAACCGTCCGACCCAAAACCAATTATATTGTCCACATTAACATTATATTTTTTGAATGAGCCAATAACACTCGAAAAAATATTCTTAGCCGTAGCGCCTGCATGATCTTCATCAGGATTTTCTAAGTTATATACTGGCAACAAATCCCAGAACTGAGAAGATATTTTAGCTATATCGTTATCAAAAAATCGCACAACAATACACATAGTGGAAATACAAGCAATGTCAGTCGATTCGTCAATCATCCCAGAGAATTTAGTGCTATTAAGTTTATTCGCTAATACATTTTTTTCTACTGGAGCAAAGACATTTTTAATTATATTGGTTGCTTTTGTGCGCTTGAGTTTCATTTTCTGACATATCTTGGAATCTGGAAATATTTCTTTTAAAAGAGGCTCAAGATGGTCAATTGATAAAAATGAAATATTATGCTCGGCCAGAAAACCAGAAAGCTTAATTTCCGCATGTTTTACTTGTTCGTCTATGGGATCGACTTTGTCTGAGGTAAACGCCGATAGAAGTGACTGAGACGCTTTAGGTGTGTTTTTAACTGCAATTTGGTGAACTTTTTGCGTGATTTTTAATCGAAGTTATTTCAGAGAGAAAACTAATCTTGCATTTTGAACACTTGCCACGGAAACAATCATCTCTATCTTCTTTCAACCAGCTTTTGTAAATAATATTAGACTCCCATTCTTTACGATACGACCGTTGGTGATGGGATGTATCAGCGACGTTGAATGGCAGTGAGCAGTCTGGCAGCGTAACGGTGATCCGTGACGGCCGAGGGCCGTTCTCCAACAAATGATAACAACCAATTTTTTCTCCGACAGTCAGAGTGACCAACCATGAAAAAAAAATTTAAAATCGTTATTTTACTATAGATACTATAGATATCTGATCCTAATCTACATAATTTGAAGTTGAAAGTTTTACTAGTTTTAGTACACGTTTTAGTTTTAACTGTTTGAAGCATGACAAGATATATATTTTGTCATGGTTTGAAGCTTCTGAAGTTGTTTTTTCTTTTCTAAGGTAAGGCATTAAAACCATTATTATGAACATTGTTAAAATTGTATTTATTAAAAAAAATTATAAAACATACAATGTCATAAATCATAATATATAAATATAATAGAACTATAAAACACACATAATCATTGTAAAACCAATACATTCATCGCCTATTATATTTATTGTATTTGTATATAATTATATAATAAATATAATAAAACACACATACTTATAAAATAGTCATTGTAAAATCAATACATTCATCACTATCCACTACTAATTGAATTCAGGGGCGGACTGGCTTCTTTAGAGCGGCCCGGGAATTTTTTTTAAAGTGGCCCAAAAACTATTGTCTAACCTAATTATAACATTTATGTTTAAAATACGACACATTTTTTCCATTGCATATTCAAAATATAAATAATAACAGCAGGTATATCATGCGTTTTAGGTAATATATTTAATTTATTGGCTTAAGGAATTAATAATTTATGAAATGTTTTGCTTTTTTAGGCTAAACGGTCTATAACCGTTTGGTGCTGTATGTAAATTAAAATATTTTTTTCTGTAGCCATTAAGACAAAAGCTTCTAGATTATTCCGTGTCATGCTGTTTCGAGAAGACAATTTCATTCATTTTTATAGTATAAAAAACAATTAAAAATTCAATAAATTAATTCATATTTATTTTATTATTTAAATATGTTGTTGTTGCATACATATTAATATATTATTAATTATAATTTAGTAAAATAGTTCACGACTCACATCGTATTGCCATTTGCCGCGCAAACCAAATTTTACAAAATTGTCTAAAATAGTATTATCTTCTATATTTATCTTACCTTTTAAAAGGCGATATCGGGATCGTAAATATTCAAAAGGTACGTGCTTCTTTCCAGTAGTCAATGCAAAATATTAATGAACTATTATTAGTTATTACAATATTACAGACGACAGACTCGTGAACGAAATACGAAAACAGTATATATTATTTTTAAATAATATTATATTGAATTATCGTATACAAACAAATAGTGATACCGCCACTGATACAAACCCAAATGGTTGCCGGATGCGTTATTGGCTATTATTTCTATTTATGTAAACTAAAATTATTTTTATAACTGTGTCTTAGAACAACAAAATATAATTTTTGGTATGATTATTATCGTATTATTTATGTTATATTTTATAGATTTTAAATACACCAAACACTGAATACTATATTACTAAAATTTAAAAATCATAATATAAGTTAGTTATTTGTACAATCAAACTGCCCCGCCCGAGACGGCCTATAATCCCATTATTCGACCGGCCCATCGGGAAATTTCCCGATCTCCCGATCTGCCAGTCCGCCCCTGATTGAATTTGTCAATAAATGTAAAAAATTAAATATATAATTTGTCAATAATTAAATCTGTCATAAAAAAGTTGTTAAAAGTATAAAAATTGTATAAAAATAATAATAAAATTTGAAATAAAATATTGTCTCAGGTTATCATGGCTATGGGCCAACTTGTCCATGCAGATACCCATCCATCATATGGCCTGCTCTTTGGAGAAACATTAGGAGATTCCCATCGTCATTGAGAGTATCAATATACTCTCTAACCCTCAGAGTAGCATCTGACCGTTGTACTCTAGATGTATGATTTCTTACCTAAACATTTAAAAACAACAGTATAAATGAGTATAATTACAATATAAGAGTACATAAATTTAAAATAAAATAAATTCATTAATATATTGTTAGATTTCTTCGAACTTGGTCCATCTCAACGTAAAATTTATTTTCAATCAACAACAATTTTTCTAGAATAAAAATAAAATATACTGTAATAGTTATCAGCTGAAAGTTCCAAAATAAAAAGAATAAAATAATTAATTGCTTATTAATAACAAATATTTTATAAAATTGAGCTTACGCAAAAAATCCCAAATATTTGGATGTTTTCCCATTTGATTGAGTAACATAGAGTGAAATGACTCTAGGTAATTGTTGGTGCGTATATCTGAACTAAAAAGTATATTATACATTTTAAAACTATTAGGTTAGGTATATTACTATTAGGTACCTAGTAAAAAAATGTTTTTTTTTATATAATTCTCATACCCATAGACGCTTATAGAGGCAGCGCCAATTTGTGTAAGCCAAAATTCCTGAGTATAACCATTCAGAAATACTTCCATCTGTTGATAAATATTCGGATATTGATTGGCATATTCAACAATTACCCAAAATCCATCATGTATTGTAAATGTACAATTGGGATGTACTTGAGCAGGTAAATGTGGTAAAGCTAAGATCTATAACAGACATTTTTGTAAAACAGTATAACGTATTAATATTTTATTCATATTAATTTCAGACTAAATTACCATGCGCAATATTGTAGCTGCCTCAGAATTCGATTGGAATAAATGGTAAATACTATTTAGACTTCTTCTACAATACCTTACAATAGCCTAAAGAATATTAATTAAATGATGTACATTATATTAACTATTCCTAATAAGAAATAACTTGATTGATATAAAATACTTAAGTACCTTAATACTTTACATTACTTACTTGACAGTAATGGAACCAACAACCCTGAAATCTGCTTTCAGGAAGGGTTGATTCTACTGCATTTATTAACCCCCTTTCATAATCAGATATGATTGTTAACTGGGCATAATTCAATGGCAAAACCTCACGAACAATCATCAAGAATGACTCGTATGTAGCTTGAGTCATTCGGGAAGTCAGCGCATAAACCATCGGAAAAGACTTAAATAGAAAATACAGTCAATAGGTACTTGAGAAGCTATATTTATTAATTTACTAATTATACTTACTACATTTTTTAGAACCACTTGAAATGTTAATAAACAGCCTTTGGTTAGCAGGGTTAGCTGTGGTGGACTTTTTGGTACCGTTTTAAATGTGCCGTCAATTCCTACAAAGGTTACAGTTAGCAGTTCTTCTCTATATTTTTGAATCGCATCTAAATTTGAGAATATGACGCCAACCCGTTCGCCTTCTACCATAAACGGTAAATGTTGTTGAAAAAAACTAAATAAAAATATATTTAAATATTTTATTTTATAATTTTATAATTTTTAATAAATGTGAAATTTTACTTTGAAGACGGATTCTGCATTGTTATTCCATATGCTGAGTTTTGATGCTGGCTTAAGGTATCAATCAGTTCTTCGACTGTAGTTGGATTGTTGGGATGACGGCGCTGACGCATTTTTGTGATTGTAAATAGGTGTAGTTTGTTGCACCTCCTGGAATTCTAAGGCAGTAATGAAATATTCTTACTTATCGTACTTACTTACTCGTATAGTTTTTAGTATATTAAGTAGTATAGGTGTATAGTTAGATTAGGTTAGGGTAGTTAAAATAGTTATTTATAATATTATTTATTATTACTATTATATTACTTTTGTATTGGTCTTAGGTTAGTTTATTGATCTTCTCTTACTTACCTACTCAACTATTTCTCTGTTATAAATTTCTCTAACTGAGGTGGACATATTTCCAGGTTTTGTTCCAGTTATACCAATAGCTCTTCTTAAATGAACCATAGGAACATCAACTAACCTAGGTGCATGGTAGTGCAATCCTAATACTGTTATTGCATTGTCATTTATATTTGTATTCATATACTCAGTGACAGGACAAAATGCTGTTCGATTTTTTTGATTTTCGCACACTAGGTATCTAAATAAGTTATAAATTAAGATTTTACTAGCTAGCTAAACAAACCAAATCCTAAAATAATAATAATATTATTTCTACTCACATTTTGTTATTTCGACTTCTACTTTTATAATACCTGTAGTTTAAATTGTCCACAAATATTTGTGACTTAAGTCTAACACCAGGAATTATTGTGTATGTTGTCGCATGTTCTTGAACTGTAAATAAAATAATAATTATAATTAACATTTAATTTATGGCTATTGCTAATTGTAAGTAATAACCTTTATATAAATATTTGTATATAATTTAGTACTTACTGTTAACTTCTTCATCTACATCTACATCCACATCCACATCTACAATAATTTCTTCTGGAAGATTGGGAAGAAGTAAAACATAATTATGGTCATGTAAATGATTCATATTGAATAATAATATTGAAAAAAAACCCAGATATATGTATAACTGAAAGTTTAGAGAGTATAACCAAACAAAATATAAACCACAATACTAGAGTTGATGTATAATAAGACTGAAAGTGTTTTATAAAACTATTCTGTAAATTTCCCGCAGTGAAGTATAATAAATAAAAGAAAACTAACATGGTATTTTGTAGATAAGTAAAATGTCATAAATTAAACAAAAATAACTCCATATTATCTTGACATAAATTGATTTTATATATTACATCCTATACATCTTATCTTGTCGTTAACGAGGTAATCCATGCTTCCTGATCAGATTTTATTGACTACATTTGGACTTACACCTATGTTTGTAACATTGTATAGGGTGATTTTTTTTAAATGTTCACGTTACAATATGATCTACTTATTTAATAAACTTGGACTCATTTGTAATGAGCACCTATGCTTCTCTTAGTAAGTTCTATTTTGTTGTTACTGTCTATTACTGTTTTTACCTTTTTTTAATTATTATTTTATTTTTATTTGTATATAATCGCGGTGTATTGTTAGGCGTCTACCTATTTATTGTTATATTATTCATATTCATTACTACAAATTGTGTTGTACTATTGGGCTCTTAGCCCGTTCATACATACATATGGTTATATAATCTATTTATATTATTAATACTTTAGTAGAGTTTTTAGATTTCAAGAGTTTCAAGATCTCGAATATTATATATAGCTGAATACAATTGATGCTAACTAATCCATACGTATTAAACACAAAATACATATTAAACTAATTTAATAAACTAAAATAAAGAGTAAACAAGGTAAGCTATATAAATATATTCCTATTTTTCAAAAATAATTGTTAATATTAAAATTAAATTTTGAATCACTTATTTATAAAAAAATGTTGATTTGCAAATTTAAAAAATCCCATTATTAAGTATAGGTTGGTTCTAAAAAAATATTTTTGATGAAGATAATTATTTAAACGTTTTATATTAATTAAACAAATACAATCAATACATTTTATATTTTAAACTACTGAAGTATAAATGCATAACTGTAAACAAATGCAATCAAATTTAGTTGGTTCAACAATTATTATAGTTCTATAAATAATAGTAAAATAAATTTAAAAGAATATTACAAACATTAATAAAGACCAGATAGACTTAAATGGTGGCATTTCAATGAGGAATTGGATGAACAACTACATTTTATAATAAAATATAATATTATTATATTAAACAACTTCCAGCCCTGTGGTTTTCTCATCTTATGTTCATTAATTCACAAACAAAAATAATAAATAATAATATATTATGTATTTAAATTTTATTTATATTATGAATGCATTGAGCCATGGTATTTACATTTTATTCATATTTTAAATGTATTTAGCCATGGTATTTACATTTTATTTATAATAAAGATATATCTAATACAAAATTTAAGTTTGTAGAGTCTACAATAATGACAGAAGTAAAAACAATAGAGCATTATAATATTGTTGGATTTAGATGGCCTTAATTACAAAGAATTTCTTTTTAAGCGGTTTTATTCTTAAAAATGAGCTTTTAAGTTTCGACGATTCAGATTACAAATTCGTTTACTTTTTAATACAAAATTTCTCTAACGCCAATTTAATAAAAAATTATGTTGGTAATGGAGAATATTTGAGGTTATATCCTGTTATCAAATTTATGTTTGTCGGAGAACGACTACCATCTGGTTCTGTGAACGGCAGAAAAACAAATGTCAACGATCCGTGTGTGTCACTCGTATTTATGCATTAGGCGGAATTCTTACCGACCAATCACAGAGCGCTCTACAAATGCGCCTCTGTGGGCTTGGGGTTTGGACAGATTTTAATAATTGTGACATGGATTGAAAGCTTGAAAGCTGATCCATCCAGTGAACATGGCAGCGAACGGATTAAACACCGTCAAAAAGTAAAGTGAAAAGTTGGACCAATCGCTGTGCTCCGTTTGAAACGGGAAGTTCCCAGGCAATTAACTCATTAATTTATGGATAAAACAAAAAATTTCACTGAACTTTTTTCCTTAGTTGGCTTATTTCACTTCAGGACCGTCAGAAAATTTCATAAAATCCAAAAAAAAAGTTGAGCTTGATGAGCTTTTTGGGAGTCACGCCTAAAAAAAAAAAGAATATTTTAGATTAAATTGGATAATCGTATTTTTACCTGATCTGTCGATGTATTGAACATGAAAATCAGATTATACTCTATTTTTCGAGAGTTGACCCACTCGCCCGACGAAAACCGGTCGCGGCCGCGCATGCCACCGCTCGTTTGAGCGCTGGTGTCGATTGTACACGGCGGCAGCTGCCTACTACGACAAGCGCCGTCGGTCGCCGAACACCGCCGACCAATCACAGACCGCCGGTCTGCTACCTGGGGGGTCTGAACGTTCCGGCGGCTCAGTATGCATGCGCGGAAGTGGGTCAACTCTCGAAAAATAGAGTATAATTTCCAATGAGATACAGCGGACAACTTACGATAGAACCTACGCGCGGAGTCAGACCTCGTCCGCCGTCATCCGTCGTTTACGGCAAACGTATTCATCAACTTTTCTAAGCGGGAAATGAAAAAATCGAAAAAATGTATTATGACTAAAACACTTATTTTTCAAATGCCTAAAGTAATACATAATTTTTTCCTCGAAAATCGTGAAAATGAGCGAGCGTATGTTGAGCGTGACACCGGGAAAATTCTCAAGCACTATGGTGCGACCAATCCACGGGTGGGGAAAATCTTCACGAATCTGAATATGTATACTAAGTTAAACTCTGAAGATTTCCCGAGTAAAAACAAAAGAAAATGTAATTGTAATGAAAAAAACCCATACTAGTTAAAATACTTATTTTTCTGATTCCTAAAGTAAGGTAATCGGAAAAAAAGAACACGGAAAAAAGACCAACAGAAAAAAAGAACACGGAAAAAAAGGACAATTTACAATTTTTGAAAACTTCATTTAAAACCGAGAATAATCATTTTAGTTATTTTGTTGTAATTTTATAATATAAAATATAGTACTGTAACACTGGTAACACTGTAAACAGTCGATGTTGTAAATAAGTCAAAATATAAATAGTAATTAATAATAAATTATAAAACACATTAAAATAAAATACGCTGTAAAATGTTACACAAAATATAATAAATATAATAAAATATAATAAAAAAGTTTGAAAAAAATTAATAATATTAATCACTTGGTATAAAACACCATGTGTCCACGACATACAAAACAGCATTGTTCTATGATAACAGTAAAACAGTTATAACACAAAAATGAAAATTGTATTATTTAATATTAATGATAACGTATTATGGGTATTGGGAAAAAAAGGCAATTGAAAAAAAAGCAACGGAAAAAAAAGCAGTGAGAAAAAAGCAAAAGGAAAAACAAACAAATGAAAAAAAAGCAAACGACACACGTTTTTGTGTTTTTAATAACTCAAGATAATCACTTGTATAATATTTTACTTAATCAGTGAGCAGTGTAAAATATATACGTGATTTTTTTGTAGCTTAGCCCTTTCTTCCTTTTCCCATCTTCTCTCCCATTATAAGGTTTAACTATTACTTAATATGTTATATATAGCAGACTATTTTAAGCTCGTGCCGCTTTCCCCGACAAATGATTAGAAACAACGTGGCACTCGGTCACTAAGTAAGTGATTATTTGAGATTATATACCTCCTATATGACTCGTCAAATCGTAAAGGACAACAATTGACAAATAATACGACTATAATAAAAATGTCAAAATCATATTTCAAACTTATCTTATTACTTATAATGATTCAAAGACAGATAATGAGATAGGTAGGTATTTAGGGTTTTCAGGTTTTCGATAATTGATAAAATATCAACAGTAATATTATATTGGTATTTTTGCAATAATATGTTAGTACCCTTGTTATACTGTGTCCTCGAATGTTCTATTATTTTGCCAGCAACAATGGAAATAATTAAATCTAACAAACAAAATGACAAAATTTGTCTTGATGGTCATATGTACACATTATACTACGAAACTAGTGAAACAATTAAATGGCGATGTTCCAAAAAGTCTTCAGTAAGGTGTCCAGCAGTTTTAAGTACGGATAAACAAATAACAGAATATGAAAAAATTCATCGTCATAATCATTTACCAAATCGCAAGGAAGTTATGGTAACCAAAGCGTTGATGAATATGAAAGAAAAATCATGTAAGTACATAATGTACTTATTATATTATATTATATATAGATAATATAGAATATATACCTGGTATGTTAATTAATTGGATAGTCACAACATGTCATAACTCATTAGTAGTGTTTCCAATTTCATTAGTATTTTAGATTCTGAGTGGAACGATGGAATAAAAAAGCTAGTCAATAGTCTAATATGCATGAGCGTTTATTCATATTATTTTTCAAATAATAATATTATGTAGATTAAAAACATAAAATATTTTTATTATAAATACATACAGCCACAACAACTACAAATCTTGTTGAAATATTTGCCAATGGTGTATCAAAATTAGATAAATCAGCAAAAGCTCAAATGCCATCTGAGGATACAGTCAAGAGAACTTTACGTAACCATCGGTCAAAAGGAAATCCAATCGATCCAAAAAGCTTAGAAGACTGTATAATACCACGTAAGTATAGTTATAATTATAATATGATAGTTAAGATTATTTTTAGTGTTTTAAATCATTTTGATAGACACCTGGACGATAAATTCTGATGGACATCGTTTTTTATTGAATGACAATGGAATCGTTGACGAAAATGGCAAATGTAAAGCTGACGAAAGAATTGTCATATTTGCAACCGATGAAGGTTTATTAATATTGCTAAGTCTTCAACTTGGATGATGGATGGAAATTTTGCTCTAGCCCCAGTGATTTTTCAACAACTTTATGTTATAATCAACTTACGAAGTAATGCTCAAAGCCATTATCTCTGAGTGTGAAAAGAGAGCAATTTTTCTGATCCATCTCATATTCATGTGGATTTTGAGAAGGCCGTTATTCAAGCTATTCGTAATGTTTTTGGTGAACATTCAAAAGTTAAAGGTTGTTATTACCATTTAACACAAAGCACGCATAGGAAAATCCAGTAGCTTGGTTTGGAAAATTTGTACCGTGAAAATGATGAGTTCATGTTATTTTGTGGACAAGTCGATAGTTTGGCTTTTTTGCCGGTATCTGACATATTTGAAGGAATGTCTCATTTACGTAAAATCATGCCAGAAGAATCACATGACTTGGTGGATTATTTTGATCAAACCTACGTAAATGGGACATACAGACGTATTGGCCAAGGAAATAAACTGAAATTCCGAAAAGTACCACCTCTTTTTCCCCCCGAAATTTGGAATGTACACGAAAGTACATTCCATAATATCGAGCTTACAAATAACCAAACTGAAGGTTTTAATAATAGATTTTCTAAGTTGGTAAGCCATAAGCACCCTTCTATTTGGAACCTCATTAAGAAAATGACACTGGAAGTTGCAGAAAACTCCAGCAACGGTTATTAGGCACTGTGCAACCAAAAAAAAACTTAAGAAGTATGAAAAATGCAATTCAATTTAAAAAAAATATGTGAAGAGTATAGAGATAAGCAACGTGATCTACCAATTTTTTATTGGCTACATATCATACCACAAGGTATATTTTATAAATTTTTTTATGATAAATTTATGTTTTATATTGACGCATATCATCCAATATGCATTTAATTTTATACTTGGAATTTTATTTTAACTTATTAAGTGTACATTTTTTAATTACATTAAATTATTTTTAATTATTATTTACTACCTACCTACTTACTAATTAACTATACGGCATATTGGTTTTTGCTATACTTATACGTTATACACATATGCCTGTAGGTACCTATGCCTTTTTTTTCATTTGCTTTTTTTTCCTCGTGCTTTTTTTTCAATTGCCTTTTTTTCCTAGATTCCGTATTGTGTGCGCTACAGCCGTTAAGAAATTTTCTAAATTTCTTTTACCATTTTTGTAATCTTCGCATAATGTAATTAGTTTAATTTGCATTTTTTCGTAAATCGTATGTTTTTTTTTCGGTTCATACCTACCTATATCGTCTTGAGCTATCTTTGTTTCATCAGACGCAACTTCCAGGCGTATTTTGGTAATCAACGTCCATACCGTGGGATGATTATGTCCAACTAGCTTGCTAAATCTGTGATTTCAGCCTTCAGTTCGGTTTGTAGTTCGGTCTTCATTCCTCAAAGTCGTTTTATGAACATTCCATATATTTGGAGGAAACATAGGTGGACAGTTTCGTAAAGTTATACTCAAATCGTTTTGTGCAATTCTTTTAGGCGAGTCCAGGATCTTTTTGACGGCGTCTTCCAGTTTCGGAAACGGTGCGTATGCTATGGCTGGGAAAAAGTCTTCGAAGCTGAAATAAAAATAAGGGTTAGCTTACGTCGTTTATCGGGTGAGGGGAGGTATGTATGCTTACTGTTTATCCACAAACGTCTTTACGAGGGCAGTGTGTTCGATCTTGTCCAGGTCACACTGCCGCCGCAACGCCTCTGCCATGTCCGGCACACGGTAGAATTTACTGGCCGTCGACTCGGAATGCTGCAACGCCTTGGCTACGCCCGAAGATGTGGCAGCGTCGTTGTCACGGACCATTGTTTCCACCATGCGCCGGAAGATGTTGGCCGACAGCTTCGACCCAAAACGTTTTGTTTAGGTCGTCGAATATTTTGACCAATTTTTCTCCCCGGTTTGTAACGAAAAAATTGGGCCTTTTATAGCCCGACCTTATTCTAAGCCTGTTATCTGTTAACAGAAGACAATAATAAGTGTCCGATCACGCAAATTTAATATCTTAACAAATCCATTACCTTTCCATAAACTCTGTAAGTTGTTCGTCCAAAACAATGGTGGCTGGCTCCACGTTGCCCATTTTGTGGTCGGTGACCGTTACCACGGAGCTAGTGCAGTGGGACTTTCGTTTTTCCCACTCATATACCATCATGTTCATGGCCACCCCGGAACGCTGTTTGGACGCCCACAGGACCTGGATTGCCAGAGCACAGGTGGCTTTCTTCCAACGGCTGGAGAGCTGAAAAATTATAAACGGGTTAAGTATGTTCGGGAGAGCACGAATCGCTACACACAAACCTCTTTCTCGGCCAGAGTTCCGTTTTTCTCACTGCGGACGTTGACCGTTCCGCAGTTTGAGAACTTCTCCTCGAGCTTTGAAAGATTGCCACCTATTGTGCTCCGGATGCTGTCCAGCGTCGCCACAACGTCCTCGTAATTGGGCAACGTGTCAGCCTCCATCGTTTTTCGGACGAACAACTCCCCCGGCTGTTGTTTCGTCGTCTGTTTGTATATGAGGCCCAGCTTCTGATCCAGGAGCTTGATACTCGTCACCGTTTTGAGGCACGGTGACAGATCAAACCCCTTGGGGAATGTTTGATCCTCGTATGCATACGTATTGACAATGGAATGAAACAACTGACGGAGGTTTTTCAAGTAGTTTATAGTAGTTGCTTTCGTTTGGCCGATCTCTTCCCGCCTGAGTATAAAAGTAAAATAAAATGTTAAACGAATATTTCATTTCAATAAACGTCAGATGGTCACTTACAAGTCAAAATATTCTATGTAAATTGATATGTCAGCCGTCACCAGGTCAGCCCAATGTTTCGGAGGGGTCTTGACATCCAACAACCGCTGGTGTACGAACTGCAAGACCCTCGACACATTGGCCACGTAATTGTTGACGGCGTCCGACTCCGGCCCGTGGCTCATTCCTAATGTGGCCTTGAACATTATAATCAGCGGATGGTTGTTGGGCAGCTTTTCGTGGACATGGGTGCTTAAAAGGTACATTACATAAAAATTCATTTAAATTAGAAGCTACTCCTTTAGCAACGGCTAGCAAAGGAAATCGTTGAATAAATATATTTTCAAGCTCAAAAATAAATTTTTAAAAATCATTATTGGGCATCTGAAGGTTACCATAAGTTGTCTGTGCAGTATTAGTATATGCTTTAAAATAGCATAGTAAAAATGCTTGGTCTAAATTGTTTTGGTACCTACCATACTCTACACATAAATCACAGGTATGTTGACTTAAACACTTGCTATACAGATAACCACAAACATAATGTAAGGCATTTTTTTCAGGTAAATTTAAGAATCTATAGTCAAAAGTACCAATTTTGAAATTAAAATATGTACCACTTAATGAAGGTTCTGGCAACATAACATTGGTAGACCCAAATTCCTGAGGATTCATATGACACATAATGTCATCAAGGTCTTTAATACAGTTAGCATTTGGAAAATAAATTCCGAAAAGCTATGTAAAATTGTACAGGGGTGGGATTTCGATTGTTTCCATTCTTATTGCGAAACATACCGAATACATTTTCTAAGCAATCTTGGTTTAAACAGTTGGTAAATAACACATAATCACTAGGGTGTGTAGTTGATTCATGTAATGAAACCCACAACTTCAACAATCCATTAATGGATATCAGCCAACCGTTTATAAAATTAATCTCACTAGTCACGTCTATACAGTTTATCTTAGTAATAACTTTTATTTTTTTAAAAAACAAGAACATCATAGAAAGATGTTCTATTTGAATTGAAGTATTTTTAAAAGGTCTTCTAAAGGATTTACTATTTGGGACTTTACTCGAATTAAAAATGTCAAATAGTTTATCCATTTTATCAATAACATCAATTGTACATTTTGATTCCAACGGTAATTTACCCAATTCTAAGTGAGTGTTCATTCCAGCAGCTACTGATTCACTAAAAATTTGGGCTGCCAAATAGACTTGCATTTTTTCAAATAGTCCTGGATTTATGTGAGCATGAGTAAACTTAGGTGCTAATCTTAAATTAAGTTTGCTATCCTCATTATAAAATTGTATAATATATTTGTTATCAGTAAGTTCATCATCAATACTAAAATGATGTTTGAAAAACATGTTACGTGTTGACTTTAACAAATGTGGCGGATCAAACAAATACACAATCTCTTTACCGTTAACTGTAAAATAAGGACGCTGTGGGCTAACATAAACACTTTTGCTGAAGCTAACAAAATTTTAGCCTTGGTCAGTGACAAATGCTCTAACATTTAAAGAAATATATAACAATTTTTTATGGTAGACATTATCATATCACTTAAATCTAGGCTACGGCAGCTTCCGGACACAAAAAAGTATGCTACTGCTTATCATTAAAACTAATGCGTACTTGGCTGCCTCATAAGTTTTAGTGAGATTTGTCTGATGAAATCCTATAATTTCATCTTTAAGAAGTGAATAATATAAATGAGTTTTTAATGACATTTCATCAGCACATAAGATGCAGTCAAAGGCCTCAGTTTTAAAATTTGAAATTTTGAATTTAATAAATTCAAATAAAAAATCATTTAACCCAGGAATTAATTCATATTTTGAAGTAACTCTTCTTAAAGTTCTAACTGAAGGTAGACTTAGTGTACTTTTCAAAAACCTATACACAGATGGGCCTAAGATGTAGATTGTTGTTTCATATCATTTGTGTACCTGTATCCATGAGGGTTTCTTGTTTTGTACATCATATGCGATTTCACAATAGTCAGTACACTGGGTGACAAATGTTGTTCACACAGTGAGAGAAAATTGTCAACAGTATTAAATTCAGTTAACTGATTGCTCAAGCCCAAAATTGTTTTTTCAGCTTTAAGACGAGCTTCTTTCTCAATCTTCAATTGTTGCCTTAACAAAACTTTTCTAGGTGTTTTTTCAGACCAAGCTTTAAGAGTTTGACAACCTTTTGAAGAACCTAAATCATATTTATAAAATATGAATAAGCACACAGTAAAGTATAAATATACAGGTTAGTAAATTGTTTGATTAAATCTTACTAGGACTTATGAAATCTAAAGGAGAATCTAAATATCTAGATCTTTCACTTGAAAATGTTGACGATGTCCTAGAAGAAATACTGTAATCGATGCTATCATGTACTTCTAAACAAAATTTAAAAATATAATATTAATAATTATAAATGAATCTCTACATAAATCACATTAACTTACCAGGTGAACCAGGTAATGGAAGAGCCAATACTTCATTGCTACTACACGTTTCAGTAGTATATTTACCCTTATCATCAATTATTTTTAGTGGACTATTTGAGCCACAAGACGCATTTTTAGTTAAAGTGGTACAGATTCCGCTTTTGTCACTAGATGATAACTCCAAAGATGTACTAACATAACAACCATCTATTTCATCTGAATATAAATAAAAAATAAAAGGCGATTAAAAAATTACTGCTGCTAAATGTAATTTTAGCCTTGATCTGATCATAACAATGATCGTATATTTATTTTCTTGGAATTAATTAGGTACGTTAAGACAGTGTAATTTATTATTACACCTATACTCCGGACGGAATAAGAACGTACCCGGGCGGCGGGCGGCGTACCAAAGCAAGTTTGCTGCGTGCAGATCATAGTTATGACTATAACTATATGTTTATAACTATGACAAGGTTGCGGACGGGAAAGGCCTGCGCGACGAGGTACATTCTTATTCCGTCCGGAGTATAATTGTGTTTATAATATGTTTTTATCATTTATCATACAATAAACACACATTTATATAAATACATACTTTGGGATTTTCTATTTTTTGTAAATTAATGAACTTTATAAATATCGAATTAATAATCGAATTATCGACGTACACTTTTTTACTTACAAAAAGGGCTGGTGCCCTATGGATCATAATTACAAGTTGAACAAAGTGCGCTGATAGTTTAGAAAATCGATTAGGTGTATAGTTTTTTTTTACTTCAAACTTTTGGACAGACCCAAAAACCACAAAAAAGAGATGAAAATATTATGCGTACTTACACCGTTGATGACTGATAGCTAGACACTCAAACTCTTAAACATTCCCGCCAAAGCATCATACCTTATCTCAATCTTAAATTCATATCACTAAACTCGTTATCATAAACCCTATCGATTAGAACAATTATCCAACTTACAACAAGCACGAATAATATTTCCAAAATCAGTACCCCCAAATTCAGCGAGTCTCATAGGCCAACTAGAATCTATATTTTTGATTATTCACTTATCTGCGCAACTAACGGGGTCCGCAATTCACCGCAGGTGGAGTGAATACCTGATAATATACGCTTCGCATATTGCTTACCGATGTGATTTTATGACTGATAGCTAGACAATCAAATACGCATATCGACTCTACACTTTTTAACAATTTCAACAACCAAAAGCCGCTGACAAACGCCTAGAGATTCTGGAGATCGTATCCATTTACAATGTTCGTGACGGATTGCTAGACGCTCAAACTATTAAACATTCCCGCCAAAGCGCCAAGCCTTATCTCCAATCCAAATCACTACTCCTTATCACAAATCCTAAACTTTCGTCTTACAACCTTTGAGACTTTTATAATTCCAACGACGTTGTCTCCAAAATCGGTACCCACTCTCAGCGAGTTCCACGGGCCCCGAGTTTCACTTAGAGCTAGTCTTATATTATAAAACGCTAAAAACGCGTATAAGATCCTCGCGGAGAGCTGACGGCACTCCGCGTTTCTTCCATGACGACCAATCATAATACTTCCCGCGCGTTCGCTATTCCGCTCGCTTATCTCACATTTCCTTATCGACGAATATTTTCGAATATTATTATTATTATATTATTATTACCCGAGTTATTCCGTATTTCTATCTTATATAATAAAACGCTAATAACGCGTATAAGATCCGCGGGGAGCGCTGACGGCACTCCGCGTTTCTTCCATGACGACCAATCACAATACTTCCCGCGCGTTCGCTATAAATTCCGCTCGCTTATCTCCCTTTTCCTTATCGACGAATATTTTCGAACATTATTATTATTATTATTATTATTCCGTATTTCTATATATTATATAATATAAAATAATATAATTTGTGATATATAACGCACAATTCAGTTTTTGAAATCTTCTAAAATGTTATGTTCGCTTTAATAAATTGTAAAATATATTATTATTTGAATTTTATTTTTATTATATCGTACCTACTATGCAAATTAAGTCGATTCCGGTCGTTGTGGTGGAAGTCGCAATTAATCAACATTTCAATATAATATATTAAAAATATATAAGTAGTTTGAATAGATAGACATTTTTTATGAGTATTGCAGTACATTTAACTATTGTACCTAAGAGTTTTAGTAGGACCTTGGTATGTCGCTACATAATTAATAATGTAAGTAATAATACGTACACATGATAAGACTACAATAAATTCAATACATTTCAATTTCTTAAAATATATACATGTTATTTTATGTAATATTATTATTATTATATTATATATACTAATATATTGTTAATTACTGTGTTTAATGTTATGTATATTAAAATTTAAACTTTATTGTGTTTAAAATGTATGTAGTAAAAAATGCAGTCATTAATAAGTACATTTGGAAAATTACATTTTTTTTTTTTTTTTACTTTAGTAAGACCATACATGTTGCCTTCAGTATTATTCAATAACCCATATGTGAAACGCAAAACTCAGAAATGGTTCAAGTGCTTGAGATTCAAATATTCAAAAAATAATTTTTTTCCTTTCTTTTTTCAAAATTTTTTCTTTGCATTATACTACCATATTATTATATGCATATCTATAGATATCGTTTTCAATGTAATTATTATTTAATTTAATAATTTAAAAATTTACCTACCTAAGCAAATGTAATGTACAATAAATATAGGTACATTGGACTGTTATGAGAATGCACATACTTTCATTATTATTTAAAATATGTTTAGGGGAGAGGTGGCCACAGTGAGACACTCAAAATTATTTTTTAAATATTTTTTTTGTTTTAGGTAATAATCATTTGACAAGGTTATGGTATTATTTTAAATATTGTTGAGTATTAAAAAACATATTTATACATTCTAAAATGTACCTACATTTCAACCCGGAGACCTTTTTTTAAAAAAAGTCAAAGTGTCTCATTGTGACCTAGCCTTGTACACAATGAGACACGTCACGGGGCACTATGGTACATAATATAAAATATTTCAAATTTGGAGATTATTTTTAATATTTAAACTTTTGATTTCACAACACTTAAATAATATGATTAAACAATTAAAGATATTTTTATAACAAATTTTAAAATAATCAACACATTTATTTCACTTTAAAAATCTTCAGTTTAGGTACTCATGATCACAATTAACTTCATCAGTCTTAATAGTTAAAATATAATTAGAAAAGAAATAACATAGTTTAAACATAGAAAAACAAAATTATTTTACATCTGACTAGGTAACTTTCCTACTTGACAGTCTTGTAATTACATTATAAGATAAAATATTATATTATTATATAGGTATCTTAAAAACTAATATCATTAAATTTAACACAGGTAATTAATATCAGTCTTACATTTATTAACCTAACCTAACGAATTTCAAAATTACTTAAATTTACTTCAAATGCATAAAATGATTGTTGCCTTGCTGTTTTACCATTAATTTTAGGCTTAGGTAATATTGCAGTTATATCTTTAAGGCAAACAGATGATAAATCTGGCACTTGTGGCAGAACAAACTTGTTTTTAGATTTTTTGTAACTTCTTAAGTAAGATATTCCTAAAAATCCTTCGTTGTCTACATTTTTAATAATTTTTCCAACATAGAAAATAGTTTTCTTTGCTTGTTTAGAATTAGAACAGGCAAATCTAACTAAAACATAGTCACCCTCTTCTGGGTCTTTATCTAGTTCTTCAAAACCAGTAATTTCATCAAAACTAAATGACTCTGCATCCGACACATCTGATGTAAAAACAGGACCACACATGTCAGCTGAGCTATCTGATAAAATGTTATTTTCATCTAATGGTTTGGTTGGTTTGCTTATTTTTTTAATGTTCTTTATTTTGGTTTTATTAGGAAAAAGGCTTTTTTTTATTTTTTCATTTTTTGTTTTTGTAGCTTCTTCTATTTTAAGTTTTTCTGGAGTGTCTGTAACAACCGCACTTACTTTTTTTCTTTTGTTATGCATTTTATTTTTTCGATCATCTGCTTTAGGGTATGGTCTAATGGTATCAGGACTGACATTTGTGGACTCAGTTGTGTTTAAAATTAAAGGTTGTCTTCCAGGTTTATCAAAAGATGCTTCACTTTTTTTAGTTAAATTTATATTTTGATTTGTTTTTATTTCTGTAGTACTACTGCTTGATTGAGGTAATAAATTGTTATTAACGATAGAAGTATCAACATTTTGATATGGTCGATCAGTTACAGCACTTACTAAATAATCATCGTCTGTGAATATATTTTTGTCAAATGGGTATATGCCAGTTGCTTTAAAACCAGCCTGAATATTTTTCATAGTCATTGATTTATCGAATGCTGAATTTATACATGGTGCAATATTATAAATATCTAATGTCCTCCCTGGATGGTTCTGTAACCATGCATCAACGGCAGAGTTATAATATTTCTTAAATGGGCCATAAACTGAAACATCAAGTGGTTGTAGTCGATTGCTGCAATGAGGAGGCAATGTCAAAATAGTTACGCCATTACTTTTTGCTAAATCAATGGAGCTTAATGAAATGTGACTTTCGTGGTTATCCATGATAAGAAGAGCAGGGTTTTCTTTTGATGAATTAGTGAACTTAATAAAATGTAACAATGTTTCAATAAACAAATCAGTGTTCATCCAGCCTGACTGGCAAGCTAAGCCAAGTGTCCCGGGAGGAGCACCATTTATCATATGATTTTTAAAATGAACCCTTGGAAATAAAATTACTGGTGGTAATGCATGGCCATACGCGTTAATAATGCAACATACAGTTACTAAGACACCTCTTTCAGCACTTGTAATTTGGTTTAAACGTTTTACACCTTTTTGGGCTATAACTTTCTTGGGTGTCTGCACAGTTGTAACGCCTGTTTCGTCAAGGTTATAAATTCTAGAGCCATCCCCAAAACAATCATGTCTTTTCAAAACATTTTCAAGCTTATCAAAAAATAATGAAACATTGTGTCTGTTAAATGAAGTAGCCCGTGACAGACTACATGCTTCTGGTTTCCTAAGACTTATAGTGGGATTTCTACGTATAAAATCCTTCATCCAGTCAATTCCAGCCATTTCATTAATAATCCAGCTGTGAGGTACAACAAGATTATTTTTTAAAGCCAACTGAAATGCTAATTTACGACAGTCAGAATAACCTATGCCATAACACATTTTTGAACATTGTAAAAGATAATTTACCAATTCTTTCTCGATGGATGACGTGAATACTTGTCGAGAATTATACTTGGGACACATTCTTGCTAAAGAATTTTTTGATTTTTTCTTGACATATCTGTAGAATAATAATTATTGGTAGGTATTAAAAAACTACGTTTTGAAAAAAAAATATTTTAAACTAATACATGGATCAATATTTACCTGGCAACAGTTGGGATTTTTAAATTGTTTCGACGAGCGGCTTCCCTAATGGAACAAACACCATTTAACACCATATCTACGGCATTCGACATTTCTTCATGTGTGAAGGTGCCAATTGTTGTTTTTCTTACCCTGTTACGACCCATGTTTCTTCTAAACAATTATAAAATAAAATTAATAATTGTAGCATAGGAATACTTTCTAATACTATTAAATTAGTTTAAATACAATTGTTTTCAATGTAAATTAAATTATTGATGAAGGGTACAGTGAGACAACAATATTTATTTGTCTCACTCTGTACTGTCTCACTGTATACCCATCTATTATTTTGCAGATTTTTCATAATTCTCGAATGAATATTTATGATAAACATTTGTGTATAGAACTAAATCATGCACAAGAAAAATATAATTTATATAGAACTTAAAATACGTACCTTTTAACAAAATTCGATGAAAAAATTTTTAAAAACGAACATCACATTTTTTACGTTTTGATAACAAAAAATAAAAATATTATGATAAAGTGATAGTATCGCTTTTGACGTGACCTTACGGTTAACCATTATGTTTATTATGATTTTATGAATCTTCTAGTTTCTCCATCTGGTGGTTAACTATTAACAGGGGCGGATCTGAAGCTTGGTTAAAGGGGGGGGCGAATTTCGAATAGGAATATCCATGAGTAATATACAAGTACGATGAGTATGGTCAAACCTGGTGGGTGGAGGGGGTCATCACCCCCAGAAATCCGTATATCAATCCGGATCAAATTGTATAATCCGTATACTATAAAATTATCAGTATACATTTTTTCAACCCCTCCCCCCACCAAGAAAAAGCATTTCCTGCTGTTGCCCCGGCAATGAAGACTTGACCGTAGTTCAAGTAATTTATGGAAAAAGAAGTACAACACTTAAAATTAATTGTAGGTACCTTTATTTGTTTTAAATAGCTATAACAATATATTGTTCAAAAATAGGTATAATTATAATAATAATTGTACGTTTCTTTTTTTTTCATTTGCAAATCTATTAATTACTTCTTCTATGTTTACAATAATATCTTTATGCGTGTGCAATAAAGCCAAGCCAGTCAGCCTATGTTCGCCCATTCGCGATCTCAACCATGTTTTTAATCTACAAATTAAAAACAATAAGAAATAAGCAAACATGCAAAGCATTTCAGAATTTAGATGCAGATATTTTCATCTTAAATTAAAAAGCAAAATTTTATTTTTATCATTAGTTATCTAACCTGCGCAAAGTGGATTATCATGAAACGTTGTTATCATTGTTATCATGAAACATAAAGAGAAAAAAAATAATAATTAATAATTATTAATTTATAAAAATGTATTGTGTAATGTGTAAATCTATAAATCGAAAATATTAAATAAATCTGTAATAAAAAAAAAATCCCAAGGGGGGGGGTGATCGCCACGTCCCCCCCCCCATAGATCCGCCACTGACTATTAAACTACTCGACTTACACTTAATGTATCACTGTGTCCCGTGTCTCACTGTGGCCACCTCTCCCCTATCAATAATATTAAAAAAAATATATATATATAAGTAGTTTGAATGCACAAATTTGATAGACATTTTGCAGTACATTTATTTGAAAGCTAAGAGTTTTAGTAGGAGCTTGGTGTATCGATTGTTAAGACAATGTCAATTTCTTAAAACATACATATAGCGTTATGCTAATATATTTTATATAATATATACATGTATTACCAAGTTTAATTACTGCAATTCACACCTTATATTTTTATATAATATACTAACCATTACGTTGGCAAGAAAACATGAAAACTACATATACATGTGATATCCTCAAATGGTGTAATCATCCTTAAAATATTGTATTATTTGTCATCATTTTTATGTGGTTGGCATGCAAAAATTTAGTATACATATCATTTATATAATTTTTATTTTATTTATTATTATTATAATTTTTATTGTATTGAGTTTAATGTGTTATATATTAAGATAAATATATAATAACATTAATTGATACCCATGTTTAATTAGTAACTACATTTGAAAAGTTTCATTTATTTCTTACTTATTTTATTGCCCTATACACATTTAGGCTACCCTTACCTACAATAAGACATTGGTTAACAATTAATGTTGTCTTTAGTATATTTCATTAACCAATAATACCTACCAGCAGTAATTTGTTCGAGTCTATGCATTCCATTTTAAAGGAGAGTTGTGCAAACTTATATAATTATGATAACTTAGGTTAGGTTATGTATACAAAAAAAAAACACTTAATAATTGTTATAAATAATCATTTATTTTGCATTCTGAAAATATATACAAAAACAAATTAGAATTAGAAAATAAAAATAACTATAAAGCCATTATTCTATAAACAATGTATTTAACAACATTTATAACTAACATGTATATTACATAGTATATATATAAATATATATAAATATTTTTAATATTACTCACTTCCATACTCATCGTGGCCAGCCCACAGGCCACCGACGACACAGCACTCGGGCCTCGGACCGAGTGCTGGCGCGGGGCCTGCCCCCGCTCCTCATCATTCCCTCGCCGCTTGGGGGGGACCGGTCTCGCCGTCGAATGGGGGAACGGCCACACCGCCGGATGGGGGAACGGTCACGCCGCCTGAGGGGGGACCTGGCTCGCCGCCGGATGGGGGACCTGGCTCGACCGGGGGGGACGAGTCCCTTTTAGTGTTTTTCTTCCTGCCTGCATAGTAAATAATATTTTAGATGCATTGCTTACGATCACATATATAATATACAAAAAATACACTTACAATGGCGGGCCAAGTGGCCGCTTTTTCGGCAATTGTAGCACTCTGAAAAAGAAAATCGGACAACATTACTATGTTTATCATTGTATATACGTAATGACAATTGACAATATTTATACATACTTTTGGGTGCTACAATCCCACCCTTAGGTTTTTTGTTGGTGACGGGGCTTGCAGCCACCGTCACCGTACAATTCGTGAATTGGAACATTCTACAACGAAAAATTAACATTAGTAAAGTTGTCAAAAAAAACAAAAAAAAAAAAAAAGTGAAAAACATGTTAGTATGACATAATATTGTATAATATTGTAGCACTTACCTTTCTGACGTTATATTATGTTTTTGTTGTTTTTGTTGTTGTTGTAGACTAGAAGCGATGGTAAGCATATTATTATATCTGAGGATCGTGTTGAAGTCGACTTTTGGGGAGGTGAAGAAAATGACGATGTATGCCTTAAAGCATTAGACAAATATATTTGGGGTGAAGACTTTGCAGATGACGACAAATTGCTGTTAGAAGTTTGTACTGAATCTAGTACTTAATTTATATTATATATATATTTTTTATATTTATATATTGGGTAAAATAAAAATTCATAACAAAAAACTATTGGTAATTATTTATTTATTAACATATTTACATTAACCTATTTACACTATTTATAAGTCTTCATCTGATGTTACGGCAGGTGAATAGACTTCAGACATTTCTTCGTCGCTGTCACTACTATAACTAATATTTTTAATGTTAGAAAAGAATAATAATAATAATAATAATAAACTTACTGTACAAATAGCTCGTCATCTGTCGATTGTTCGTCTTCGTCTTCGGTCACGGGCATCTCTTCCGCAGTATATAGATCTAACATAATATCTATAACGGGCGGTGACACTTACTCATCACGTCTAAACACCAAATATTGAATTTAAAAAAAATATATATATATAATATTGAACTTTCTTACATGTGATCTCCGATAAGCCCGTCTAATCGCCTAAAGACGTCATCTAAATCCTCAGGTTCCTGCTCCTCTTCAGGTTGCTCGTCAACACTTAACACCAAATATGATAAAATAAAATAATAGATAATAATAATAATATTATTAAACTTACGGCGGAAATAGCAAAGGAATACCCAATTCATTTTGAGGACGACCGCGACGACCAAATCCTAATGTATTTATAAAAAAATATAAAAATACCACTTCGAAATTAAACATCTTGAAATAACACTATACCTTTTTAGTACAAATTACGGTACATACTGATTTAATAAAATAATTTGTCATTATTTTAATACATAGGAATGGAAGGGATTTTAAGTATGGATATGCTGGAAAACAAAAAACAGCGAAAAAAATATATACAAGTGTGTGAGAAAACATCTTGCTTAGATAAGACAATATGCTTCATAAACATTTCCATGCAGATTTTTTGACCACCCTGTTGCATTTATATAGGTAAATTACATACACGTATATAACGGGGACGGTTGTAGCGGCTGAAGATATACGTGTGTGTGTGTGTGTGTATATATAGGGTTTTTCAATAAGGACGCTCGATGTTTCATAGTAAAAAAAACAAGTTGTGTGTGAGATATATACACAGACCCGGCTCAAGGGGTAGGCGACATAGGCCCACGCCTAGGGCGGCACATAAGCATCACTTTAGTAAGAGGGCGGCATTTTCAAAATACTGATAATATTATATAATTAGGGGCGGCAAAATTTGATTTCGCCTAGTTCACTATTTTCGCTTGAGACGGTCCTGTATATACCTAATTTTTATTTTATTTTAAAGAACGTTATATGGCAATTATTTATGGAATATAACATCGTTCAAATGTCCGCCTCGGCTTTGCTTGGTGGCACGTATTCGGGTGGTCCAATTTTCTATTACTTTGTTGCATAAATCTGGTTGAATTTGCTTGATGGTGTTGATTATGTTGACTTTGAGGGCATCAATTGTTTGTGGTTTATTTGCATAGACCTGCGATTTAAGATAGCCCCAAAGAAAAAAGTCTAATGGCGTTAAATCGCACGATCTCGGAGGCCAGTTTATGTCACCATTGCGTGATATCACCATGCCCTCAAATCGTTCACGCAGAATGTCCATCGTTGCACGCGCTGTGTGACACGTAGCACCATCCTGCTGGAACCACATGTCCTCAGTATCCATATCATCGAGCTTAGGCCAAAAAAAGTTGTTGATCATTGATCTGTAGCGCTCACCGTTGACGGTTATGGCAATGCCTGTTTCGTTTTGGAAGAAGTACGGACCAATGATTCCGCCAGACCAAAATCCGCACCAAACAGTGACCTTTTCGGGATGCATTTTGTTTTGGTGTGTCTTGTGTGGATTGGTATCATCCCAAATCCGACAATTTTGTTTGTTAACGTATCCATTCATCCAAAAATGGGCCTCGTCGCTAAAGATTATTTTTTTAGCGAAGTTTGGATCAACTGCTAACTGCCCCAGAACCCAATCAGCGAATACACGACGTTGTGTATGGTCATTTACCTTGAGTGCTTGTGTTAGTTGGATTTTATACGGGTGCAGACCCAAGTCTTGACGCAAAATTCGCCAAGTTGAAGTCACAGAAAGACCAAGTTCTTGTGAACGACGAGGAATTGACTGTCTTGGGTTTTCCCGTACACTATCACGCACAGCAGCGATGTTCTCAATAGATCTTGCATTTCGTTGACGTATAGGTGTTGGCTGATAATTTATTGAACCAGTTGACTCGAATTTGGCTACCAAACGTCGAATAGTCGACTCAGCCTGACGGTTGTGTCGAGGATAAAAATCGCGGAATGCGCGGAAAGTTTTTCTAACGGAGCACTGATTTTGGTAATAAAATTTAATTATACGCACACGTTGTTCTACGCTATAACCGTTCATGGTGATTTGCCATACGGTACTGAACAATTCACAACAATTATGCAGATAAGGCTTTAATGACATTCCCGATATATCCGATCAAAGTTCGAGCGCCTCTATTGAAAAACCCGTTATATATATATATATGTTTAATATAGGTATTACATACGCCAAAAAGATCTGATAATATACCTATCTAGGTACATATATTGGAAATATTTTTACGAGCAGTATTCGTTTTACAATAATATTGTCACGAACAGTATATTGTGATCAATCATTATAGATATTAATTGAAATACAGTTTTACGTACCTGGTTGACAGTTAAAATTGATTAAACAATTAAAACCAGAGTACATACTTCTGTCATACTATCACGTAAGTAAGTTCGTATAAGTTTTAGAGTAGAAAATGAACGTTCCGGAGTAGCAGTCGATACAGGAAGTGTACAAAATATTATAAAAAAAAAAATTAATGTTTGGATATAATTCCTTATTGCAGACTAAAAACGTATCCATAGATGTCTTAAAGTTTAAATTATTTCATGGCATTTTTTCCTCCACATTTTTAACTCTGTTGTTGCCACTTGCTTGTCAGTTCAAGGTTATAGTGTACAAACTACAGCTGAATTCAATATTCTTATCAACATTCTAATTGATAAAAATATAATTTTACCAAGAGAGCAACGATGACTGATTATTAAAAAAATTGTAATATTGCATAGGTACATTATTCACACACGAATGTACGTATATTATACCATATAGTTCAAACATTAATATAAAATAAAACAATTAAATACTCATACTATTAAGTTATGTAGCACGCGTATTTATTTTTTAAAAGTAAATAAAATCGACTAGTCACGTGTCCGTCTAAAACGTCTCGTTCAAGCGGCAAGAGTTTGTTCATAAAATAGAATAGGGTTGAAAATAGGTTGATATGTAACAGTTTTATACGCCCGTCAGACAGATATGTTTTCAACGTCTTCCGAAGGATCTAGAGGAGAAATAAAAACATACAATTTCTTTAAAATGTTGTACAGGTACTTAAACGTTTACACGTGTAAAAACAAAAATAAAAACAAATTATGCTGTTTTCATAATATATTATAATATTTTACATAATATTATATCTTATATTGAATGCATAGGTATCATAATATCCTTTTATAGTAGGTATATAGTTCGTTGTAATTAAATAGTATTTATAATATTTATATATTATAATATTACCAAATATTAGATGTTCTTATTTCATATTATATTGATCTCTTGCCGTCGGTGGGAAAAATCCTACAAGATTTTCCATATGTTCTTTAACAATAGTTGTTTGTTCCTTTTTCATTTCACCCATTCTGCGTAAAATATAAAGAAAAAATTATAACAAATGGTTTTAAGAACTGAAGAAGTTGTGTGTGAAAAGTTGTTTTGGTTATTTATGCAGTAAAAACTTTTCCAACTAATGTACTATATAATATGTATAATGGAAGTATGTACAATATTTGTATCAAACCATTTGAACATATTAAATAGTATGTACCTACCTGAGTTTCATTTATATTTTATACACTTTTATTTAAACACAAAAATAATTTAAGCATTCAATATCAATTTTCATTACTGACTATAATTATCAATGAATAAAATTTATTTAATTGTTCTCATTTTCAAATAAATTCGCATAAATCATAATGAAAAGAATGTTAAATATATAGAACAGATTACTTTAATTTATAATATAATTTACAAATGAAGGGCAATGTAATATACTAATATTATTAGGTATAGCTGATGTAGGTAAATATATTAATATATTATAATTCATTTTCAAAACACATAATTTAAAATGTCATTGTAGGTCTGCTTCTTTTGGTTCCCTTCTAATAAATACTTTTATTTTAGCTTTAATTTGAAAATAATATTATACTAATATTATATGTATCATCTCAGTAAAAAACAAAATTTTACCCTCGGCCAAATAAAAGATAAGATTGAATGTAAGACATTAGATTGTAGCGATTGCATTAAGTTAATAATTATTATTACATAATGTCATACGGTGTCATTTATTTATTAACATATAATATCATGCTTATAGACACAATTCATTAAATGACTTTACATTGAAATACCAATTGTTCAATTCATATTACTATTCAAATGTAATAAAGTATTTTTTCTAATAATTTTAATTGAACTAATCACAATAATACTTTTGTTCTTTTTACACTTCCATTTCTATAACACCTCTATGTGTATCTTAAATGTATTGTTTTCGTTATTATCAGAGGGGATACATTCTCTAGGCTACAATTCATTTTATTTATGTACAATAATTACTTACATTATTACAGCTATAATCATTCAACAATTGCTACTATTGACCTTTATTCGGTCTGCAGTGCAATTCACTATAACGTGTAGTTTAAATGTTACTAACTAATCGATTACAATATGCTCTCCACACTGTTTTTTATTTATTCAAAATGTACTGTACTTATTACATTCCCTATCGGTGAGCTGATTTTTATATGCTTATATTAAGTCACATGTCATTGGTATGTGTGTAGTAATAAAACATTATTATAATATCACATATGACACATATGTTGAATGCTTATAATCTTATAACATTTGAGAGGCTACTATTCAACTTTATTCATTCTTCAGTGTAATTCACTATTCACTATTACATGGACCTTACATTTTACTAACTAATTGATTGTACCATGCTCTCTATGCACTGTTTTTAATTTATTTAATTACTAGATTCTGGTGTTTGTCATCCCGCCTGCGGCGGAAAGACTGTGTGGGCGGTAGTGCATCTTTGTCGTAGCTGCCCGTGTGCCTCGATCCGGGCGTTGGGGAAGCCTTCGAGGTGGTCGAGTGAAAATCGTTTCACGGGAAATTCGAAAAGTAATTAAACCGTACCGAAAACTGTGACTGAGTGTCTAGCGGTCTCTCCTCGACTGTTGTAATACCGTGCCCCGGTGTATGCCCGGTTCTGTTTTGTTGACTGTATAAGAAATTAGGAATTTCGAATAATTGTAATCGAATGTCTAGCTATCAATCATCGTTGTATGCAAATCCATGAGTTATAGGGCATATGTGTATGGCGGATTGGATACATGACCCGTCGCATGCCCTGTTCTTTTGTGCGTGTAAAAAGGATAAATGCATAAAGAAAACGGTAATAATTGTGTGTCTAGCTTTCAGTCCCCAACCAGTACAAATTTGTGCGTTTACTGGGCATACCTCCTAACATCGATAGTCAGAAAACGTATTATTGTAGGAGAAAATGTTAAAGCCAAATGTCAATTGAATAAAAAGGTTAAGTAGTCGATTTAAAGGCAATCATACTTCCCAGGTATATAGGTGTCTGGTTGCAAACGACCTGTGCATATGAAATGAAATTAAAACATTACATAAAGCTAATTAAATGCTCTAATTAAATTAATGTAGGTGTGGCGTACCTATCATAACGTTATTAAGCATTTGGTACAGTTAAATGAATATATGTGTAGCCTATAAAACATCGGTTAATTGTATCATGTTGTATATTATATGTGTGTTGTGCACATGCTTATAGTTTTTGGTTTTTAAAACTGTTTTTAATACTATCAATCACAATCTTTTACAATTTTAGGTTTAATATAAGCAAGTAGTAATAATGTATAATAATAATAATAATAAAAATAATAAATATGAACATGGATTGTTTATTTATATTAGTTATATTTTTTATATTACAAATAATATATATATAATCAATTAGGTAATACTAATCAGTATTTGCATAATATTTTTACAATGAAAATTTTTTGCGGTTGCAAAATATCTAATCATACCTCATTATGTTGATTACATACAAAAGACATTGCTAAGAAATACAAATTCAAACATACAATATAGTGTAGTTTAATGATGTTTAAAAAAATTAAATTGATTCGTGCGTCGACTGCAATACGTAGGAATCAAACATATTATACATGCAACAAAATTGAAAATGTCTTACAAACCTATTGGTCATAGTAGAATAGATATATGCTTTTGAAATTATAATAATTTGTGTATGAAACTTACTATTAATCAATTTAAAAGTATATATAAACACATATATCTATATATATGCATGTGGTACATCGGTTGCAAATTAACAATTAACAATGAATAATAATTAAGTGTTAGGTGTAGGAACTCTTATGATTAACAGAGTGTGGTTTAGTTACAAATTAGTAATCATTATTGATACAATGATGATTCTTTTTGTTGTGTTTCTGTTACATCAGCATTGATGAAGTCTTTTCCAGTATAATGTTTCTGAAATAATAAAAATGCATACAATTATTTACTGATATATTTTGAGAGTACATACATAATTCTAAATAATTTACCACATAGTGTGCGAGTCGCAGCCAGTTTAAATGCATTTTTGACATTTGATAGAAATACAATAACAAAATCCGCATCAAGAGAGAAGCACATATAGGTTGTCGAATTCCCCCTATGTCATAGTAGTTGTACAATAATGATTCTGTTGCTGTTACACGTGCATTGATGAAGTCTTTTCTAGTATAATAATGTTTCTGAAATAATAAAAATGCATACAATTATCTGCTGATATATTTTTAGATTACATAAATAATTCTAAATAATTAACCACCTAGTGTGCTAGTCGCAGCCAGGTGAAATGCATGTTTGACATTTGATACAAATACAATAACAAAATGCGCATCAAGAGATAAGCATGTAGACTGTAGAGGTTGTCGAATATTCCCTATGTCTTAGTAGCAGTACAATAATGATTCTGTTGCTGTTACACGTGCATTGATGAAGTCTTTTCTAGTATAATGTTTCTGAAATAATACAAATGCATACAAATATCTGCTGATATATTTGTAGATTACATAAATAATTCTAAATAATTTACCACATAGTGTGTGAGGCGCAGCCAGTTTAAATGCATGTTCGACATCAGTTACGTATTCATTACAAAATCCGCATCCAGAGAGAACCACGTGGAGGTTGTCGAACTTTCTCTCCTCTTCGAGTCGTACTACAACTCACAACAGTCGACTGCT